GAGTCTTAAAGCAACTAGTTACCTGTATAAAATACATACTTAATTTTATGTATATTACTTAGTTCTATTGATCTTAGTGACAGTACTTGTATCTTATAATTGGATTAAATATTTTGAAAATGAGCTAAGACAGTCTTGACCTAGGCAAAAGCAGTGAAAAGTTAAGTAAATCATTATAGATATAAAAAAAAAAATTCAAGAGAGAAATGGCTTGGAAACAGGCTTTCAGTCTAAGATTCTTGAAATCAGATGTCAATATGCTTCATTCATCTCACCTACCTTGGAAATCTGCAAAGGGCTTTTGATAAAAAAACTTCATAGCTTAGAACATTTCGACAGAGCTGCTAGTTGAGGAACATGAGACATCTCAGTCTTCATTATTTATATATTATAGTATTTATTTTTTTTTTTTTCTGTTTTACATCTGGACATTCTAACCTATAACAATCTCAGTCTGCATTGATTTATATATGGTAGCATTTTAATTTTTTCTGGTTTATATCTGGACATTCCAGCCTATAACAACCTTTAAGTTTGGAATCTAAAGATGTTCTTGGTGATATTGTTATTTTATTTTTAAATATAAGTATATTACACATGTACTTTACATGCTATAAAATAGAAAGTGAGAAAAAAACAGGAATTTTTCTTTGAATTAGTAAATTTCAAGGACACAATCTAGAAAATCCCATATTCAGTGGAGATATAAATTGATATTTCATTGTTTGAATTACGTTTCAGATGTAAATAAATAACATCAACAAGAAGAGTTAAGAGAAGCACTGAAGAGAATTAAATAAGAGGAAAATCCCTTTTTGTGACCAGCAATATTTAGCAAGATGAAAGCGCTGCATTTTTCTAAAGGTGATTTTAATAGAATTTGAAATTGATATTCATAGAGTAGGATTTCTTACTGTCACAATTTGCCAATAGCCAATAAGAGTACATACGCAGTGGTGAGGCTGCTATTGCAGACTTATTCTATGGCTCCCCAGGGCAGATTCTGTAATTGCAAAGTCACTAACTTCAGCAGTAATTTCAGTCTAGCTATACCTGCATAGCATAATCATTAACACAAGTGCTTTGGTGGTGCCTAAACCACTGGTAAAAGTTATATTTGAAAGTCAGCAACTAAGCCACACCTAAACATTAAGAATATTAAAGGGTTGCCTTTCCTTGCTGCGTAAGAGGCTTACAGGGACAAACCCCAGGAAACCACTAAGAAGTATATTTTACCTGCTCTTGTCTTGTAAAGTTAACAAGATATTATCTGGGCAATCCCATAGATCTGTCCATGAACCCTGCTAGTCTTTTACAGCTAAATAATAGTAAGGACAAAAATCATGATTACCTAAGGACTCTCAGGTGCAACAGAGACTTCAAGGCAGAAACTGTTTCATCAGACTCCTAATTTGAGCATTGATTTGCTTCCCTTCTGCAAGCAGAGGACACTCATGTCTTAAGAAAGTGTAATCAGCACACCAAGAAACAGCCGCTATAGATGTCATGTACCAAATCCAAACAAGATTTCCTGAATTTAGAGAGGTCAGCAGTGACAAATTTTAATCATTTTAGGAGCACTTTGGTTTATTTCAGCAATGATGGGGCGGGAGTGCTGGGGGTGGTGTGGAGAAGTAGCAATCTGCAGAACTGAAAGTGAAACCCAGAGGAACTCCCCAGCCTCAGCCCCATCTCCCATGTGCCTTCCCTGACTGCACCCCGCTGCACAGAGGCTGTGTCTTCCCTCAATTTGCTGAAGTTTCCTTTGCAAAGAAAGCTGAGAAAAAGATCAAACACCATGGTGAGCTCCTGTCCAACATTGTCAAAACAGCTGACAGTTTAACAATGATCAGCCCTCAGAAGTTTCCAGGGAAGTATCTATTTCTGAAAATTTTATTGTTTTCAGAATAACCCTGAACATTTCTTTGTTTGTATACCACTTCAAGGCATCATCTTCATCTTGTACATGAAGACATCTTGAGATTAAATTCTCCACTTAAACAGATTTGAGAGTTTCTGACCACCAAACTGGTAGAGATGAGTTATATCTCTGAGGCGCAAGGTCATGCCAAGCACATGGCATGTATTTACCAATGATCAGAGTGTTTTTCTTGCCCCTGTGCTCCAGCTCCCAGGTGGACCTGTCAGGCGTTCACAGTGAGGTCCTCTGACTAAACACCAGCATGTGATATTGCTCCTCACCGAAGGACACAACGGTGTTCATCATGCAATCTCCTGGTGTGGAGTCAGCTCCCAGGCAATTGGAAAGCACGAGCACAGAGCGGGAGGAAAAGCAGTTGTGAGCTGGATTTAATTATATTCCAATTTAGTAGGAAAGGCAGGGAATTAACCATAGAAACAAAAAGAAGGGCTTCAATGCCCATCCCCAGGAGACAATAAAGGTGAGACTGACCTAACATGTTTGCAGGAGAGAAAAAAAAACAAAAACAAAACAGAAGGAAAATCTAGTCCACAGAATGAGAGAAAAGATGGGGAATTCAAAGCTGCAAGTTGGAGAAATGAGGAATCAGCAGCTGTGCTCACTTGCTTAATCTGCAGAACCCTTACATAAAGTAATAAAGTTGCATTAGCTGTAAGGGCTAAATACTTTATTTTCAAGAATTTCTCACAGTTTACCCATGCTTCTACAGAAATGTGTATGTTAGCCTGAGAAAAACTAACGTGTCTTTGGCTTGGAAAGGAAAGAAGAATTGTGATGAGATTTGACATCCTGAAGGGCTTGTTCTCAGATCAGGGAAGAAGCGAAGCATTGCATTTTAAAAGAGATTTTCAACTGAAAATTTTAATTGGACCTCACTTTTAAAGTGTTTCAAATCCTCTCTGGGCACAATATAGTGCACACAAAAAAAGCCTGGGATATTTTAATGTTTGCTTATGTACATGCTGTCCCAAAGTATGACAGAACATGGTGTAAATTATGAATAGCATGTGGGCGCCTTGCTGTTGCAGTGCAGGAGATGTGGTTAGAAGGAGATTTTAGAGTTCAGCATTTTGTGCCTGTCAGTAACAAACTAAGCCAAAGGAAAGGATCTGAACATATGTCTGCAATTTATTTCTGCACAAGCTGTGGCTTGGTCTTCTGTGGGGCATTTTCTCTCTGTCTTCTTGCTTTTGCAAGAGAGTAAGTGAGAGAGACAGAGTAAAAAGTCTGGCTGGAGTAACTTCATTGGCACAATGGGGTTTATCCACGTTGCTAGTGTATTTAATACAGTAGAAGCTGCATGTTTCCGTTAGGAATCTGCAAGTGGTATTATTCTTCTTATATTACTGTGGTTAAGTACACAAGCTATCAGTGTTTGCATTGATCCTCTAAGGAGAATCCGTGCTTTATCTTCTTTAACAACGATCTTTGCTCAGAAGACTACACTGAATGAATATTGGTTTTCATCCTTTTGCATCCCAGAACAGTATCCTTTAGATGTCACTTTATTGTTGTTTAAAATGCGTGATTAAAGTATTGTTTCAAGGTGACCAGTGTTTGGGATGGGAGGAGAGGCAAGTGTGCAACACCTGATAGAGTCAGTTTGCAAATGAATTTGAATTATTTGATATAACAATAAATGACAGCTGTAAAAGTAAGAATTACTGATACTGAGAGCGAAAACATTAAAGTGCATCTATTTAAACAATTCTTAAATAAACTGTCTATTTCTGCATAATATAATATGACTATTATTAAATTCACACCATTCATGCAAGTAAGTGTGCCCATTTAAACTGGGGGCTGCTTCATGGAGGAGAACGATCTCAGCTCCTGAAAAAAAAAAGGGGTCTACCAAAATCCTCCATAAGTCACAGTCCCTCTGGGCCTCAGCTTCCTTCTCTATAAAATAAGTAGAATAACCCGATTTTTTTCCCCCACAGAGCTGCTATATTAATGCATCCTTTTTGTCAATCCAGTAGAAGGCTACAAAATGTTCTAATGTTTGTTATTTTGAGCATTTTCTATTTTGAATCCTTGTGCATTTTTAGATGGGCGGCAGAAATGGGTCATTCCCTGGTGATCTTGTTATGGAAGTCTTTCCCTTATACGTGGACCTCTAATTCTGCTGCTGCTCTTTTTTCTTATCAGTGACAGATTTGACCAGTGCTTGTTTATCACTACATATTTATTTTAATATGTCACTGTGGCTTCTGCCCACAGGCTATTACCTTGAACTGTAAAATAACTTTTATTAGTATTTCAGTAAAAAGAAGGTCCTGTCACCAAAGACATAGTGGAGGCACAAAACAGCAGGAACTCTGACCCAAGAAACCAAACCTAATTAATCAGAGCCTGCAGCTCAAACCAGTCTGCTGTTCAACAGCAGTTTTGATTAGTAGGACTAGAGGCAAAGACCTTTTTCTTTAGTGCTTAAACAGAGAAGAAAAGAAAATGTATGTATACATTTGACACCAGCTGGTGCATACATTGCAGTTTACTTTGTTTAAGCTGGATGTCCTTGAATCACAGAACAACTTTAATGACCGTTAGCTGCTCTCTCAGTGATTTAGTAAATGAACTCAAGAAAATCAACCGCTGGATACATTCCCAAACACTCAGTACAGTTTATTGAAACTGATCCATTTAAACAAACAGTAAATTGAGATTCACTTCAACCTCTACCTATTTGGCGAATACAATTAGGGAAGACACTCCCTAGCTTATGGAGAAGTGAAGCTGGCTTTCAGTACCGACAAAAAGTGAAAATCTTTAATGCATCAATGTTGGTAATTTACATTCAGTGTTGGGACTAAAAATCTAAAAGACCTGGGTGTCTTCTGAAGCTCCAGAGAGCAGCATGTACATCAGCTCAGCAATCACTGCTGCTAATGTGCTGTATGAGGAATGCATATTCAAGTCAGTGCCTAATGCAGTGAGAAGCAAAAATGGCAGTTGTTAACGCATCTTGAGCTGAAATGAAATTTGGGCCTTGGTGGAGAGAAATAAAAACCAGGCACACTTAGAAAGTAGGAAATGTACTAAGAAGCTGCCTTACCTCCATCTAGTTCTTCAGCTCCAAAATGATTCCTGTAGAAAAGCATAATCTCTATCTTGTAACACTTGTAGATAGTCACTAAACAAACAAGCAGCAGCAGAATAGCACCAAGCCCACCAGCAAGCTCAACTGTGTACATCAGCTCTGCAAAGAATTACAAAATGCAATAACAATCATATTCCAAACCAGAGAAAGATTAGCAGCAGACCTCACAATTATGTTAAAAATTAAAATATAATAATGAATGATGAGTTATTTATGTATTTATTTTGTTACAGGGCCCTTGAAGAAATACCTAATTGATAGAACTTTTTTTCCTTTAATAAAATAGTTTTTCCTCTGGGAAACCATCTGAATTGCTCATTTAAAACATAACAATTGCTGGGGATGTGTGTGTGTGTATGAATATGTGCATGTATGTAATGTATTCGATAACTCTCTTCCTTGAGAGTTTTGATATATATTCGATAACTTTCTTCCTTCTCTCTCTCGGTAGATAGACCACAGTTTGCTTTACAGAGATAGATGTTGACATTCCACTTACAAAGAAAACAGAAGTGAATGTTCCTTTTTTGGGAGACTATAATGCAAACACAGCTCCTCTATTATTCCACACAAATAAGATGAGTTTCAGTCTACTGGACAAGGTTACACTAAGGATTTGATTTTTTTTTTTTCAAAATAAAATAAAGTAAAATAAAATAAAATAAGCCTCAAAAACTTGAGAGATGTGAAGACAAGTTATCCAAGGAACCCCACAGCCTCACATGTCGGTTATGTGCTAATATTTTTGACACAGTTTCCCAATGATCTGCAGTTCATCTTCATTCTCCCCTTCCCCCAGAGGGGTTAGCTTGTGTGTCGTCACAGAAAACCATCGTGATTTGTCTGTTCTGATGTTACCATTCAGACTGTGACCCTCTGGTGCCTTTGCTTCACTCCACCAACGGAGACTCACATGATGAATTGAGGTCGTGGCCATGTAGCTCCGTTCCTGAGGACGAGGACTCTGGTCAAATGTGACTGCAACTGCCTACCAGCAGCAGTATCCTCAGTGGGGACACTTCTCAGTGCATAAGTAATATGCCATCGTGGACTTTCACTTCTCCTAGTCTTCACTCCTCTCCTCTTTCACTCTACAAGTCTTAACCCTTGTAGACTCAAGGAAGCACACCCAGCTATGTGGCATCCGTTTTGTTGTTACTTTTCATCTGCTTACTGACTGAAAACTGGCAATGTTAAAAAAAAGGAGGTTGGGAGGCGGAAGAGCATTACTAACAATGTTGCAATTTGAAATGAGTAATAAATGTCATATCTTAAGACCACCCATACTCTTTTAATATCACTCAGTTTTCAGGAATG